GCTCAGTTCTGTCCAGTTTAGAAGCACCCTGGTCCCTCAGACCCCCCCAAAAGGTGCAGCTTTCCAGGAGGAACACAACCCTCAGGGTCTGAAGGGTGATATGGCCTAGAAGGGCTGAGGATAATTTATCTGAGGGAGGTCCTATCTGAGCCAGCTCGTATTCAGAACTCGTGAAATCTTCCATCTTCAGGCTGCCGGTCACCTTCAGTATCTGGGGTATACATTTTGGGAGAGCACCTGAACGTGTGTCCCAATAATGCGGTCCACTTGTCAGACATCTGGGTTTCCCTAAGCCTCCCACCTAGTGCTTTTCATGGCAAGTACGGAGCATTGGGCAGCTGGCTGCGTTTCTCTGTGGCGAACCGTCTGGTAGCTGAGCCAGTGCAGTAATAATGCGGGAGTCATTTACTGCTGCTATAGGCCAGCAGTGACTTTCTAGCACCTCAGGCGCAAGGATGGGGCGGGTGGCGGGAGGGTGAGAGGGCTGTCTCTGAGTCACAATGCCCGCTGGGGCTGCTGCTACCGGGGTGGGGGGGACAATTCGCACACGACCCTTTGCTAAAGCTATTGTCACCAGCTAGCTCTCATCCATTAGAAACCTGCAAGGTAAAAATAGGCATAAGATGATAAAGGACATGCAGTAGCAATTTTGTGTAATCAAAAAGTAAGTTTAAGTTTAAATCCGTGGGATTTTTGGCTCAATAAAAGCTTCTGGCTAAGTTCCTTGATGTGACATACACAGGCTTAAAGGCCACATTGGAGTCATCTATTATTCAACACCCCTGTGGGCCACCAGCCCAGGGGCAAGGTTTCAGTAAGAAACCCCAGAAGGTCCTTTTGCCTTCTTGCCTCCTTTCCCGGGGACTGGCTGAACGCCTCGGAGATGTTGCCATTTCCACTGCAACTGCCGTGCGCCTTCATGAATAAAACATCAGCTAATATTACATTTGAATTACAAATGAGCGCCGTGAAAAGAGGCATTCTGCAAGCTATGGGATCAAGGAGGAATTTTTTTTATTAAAAAAACCCCCAAGTTTGGTATCTGCAATAGTGAAGTGAAGCAAATGGTCTGGGGGGACGCTGAATGGAGCTATTCCTACTGGAACCTGGCGGGAAGGTGGGGTTATGTTGAAGAAGCCATCAGTAATTGCCTAATTTCAGTAGATGTAATACAGCTGTTTCTGTTAGCATCTCTCACATAGCATAAAAAGATCAGAAGGCAGGCCCAGGTCATTAGAATACAAACAACCAACGCAGATGTTTGCAATGCAAGGCGGGTTATCTGTGCTACTGCTTATGGGCCTGTCTAGCTCATAAGAATGTCTGATCCCTAGATTCTGGAGTAGACAA